TTTCTGCTTTTGTTATAAATATTGGTGAATAAAATTTTTTAATTTTAATGTAGTAAAATTTATCAATATACTTTTTTTTTTTTTAAGATTGGCACCTGAGCTAACTGTTGCCAATCTTCTTTTTTTTTGTCTGCTTTACCTTCCGAAACCACCCCTCCCTGCCCCCCCCCCGCCCCCCCGTAAACAGTTGTATATCTTAGTTGCAGGTCCTTCTAGTTGTGGGATGTGGGATGCTACCTCAGTGTGGCCTGATGAGTAGTGCCATGTCCGCACCCGGGATCTGAACCCTGGGCCGCCACAGCAGAGCGTGCGAACTTAACCACCCGGCCACGGAGCCAGCCCCTCAATATACTTTTAAAGTTTGTGATTTGCATGCCTTGTTTCAGAAATCCTTCCTAAGGGTTTAAGGTCATAAAAATATTTTTATTTTCTCTAAAATTTATTCCTTTCACATTTAGGTCTTAAACTCACCCAAAATTTACTTTTCTATATGGTGTGAGGGAAACATTCAATTTCACCATTTTTCTGCAGGGATAGCCAATTGTCCAAGCACCGTTTATTAGATAGTCCTTCCTTTCCATCAGTAGCCAATGTCCCTTCTTTCACAGATCAGATTTTCATATTCCATTATGTTCCATTGGCCTATTCTTGAGTCAACAGCTCATTGTCTTATTATTATAGCTTTATAGAAAGTTTTTATATCTGGTAGGACAAGTTCACACATTTTGTTCTTCGTAAGTATTTTATCTACTGATAGTCCTTTATCTTCCATATAACTCGTAGGATCACCTCTTTAACTTCACCAAAATACCACTATTGTCTTCTCATCTTTAGCATAGTATCTTTTCCTTTATTCGGAACCTCCCTTATATCCTTAAGTAATGTTCAGTACTTTTCTCCATATATGCGTCTTACAAATATCTTTTTAGATTTATTCCAAATCAATTTACAGTTTTGGTGTTAATAATTTATGTTTTAATAATTTGGAGATCATTTTTAAGGTATGTAATCACTATTGTTCTCCTTTCTCCAATTCTTGTACCTCTTTTCCTTTTCTTCTGTTTCATTGCTTTGGGTCTCCAGAACATTGTTGAACAGAAGCATTAATAGTAAACATTCTTGTTTTCCCTTACTTTAACAGAAATGCTTCCAAAGGCTCACTATTAAATCTGTTTTTTTCTGTTGACTGTTTTGTTGTTGTTGTTTTGTGGGTTTTTTGCTGAGGAAGATTCACCCTGATTTTTTGATGGTAAACTATTCGTGCATCCCCAGAGTAAATCCTACTTGGTTATGAGGCATTTTATTGTATACATTGCTGAATTTGATTTTGCCAGAACTTAATATTCACGTAAGTGAGATTGATCCATAGTTTATCCCATTTTATTTTCAAGGTTTTACTAACTACAAAAAATAACTAAGGTGGCTTTTTCTCTTTCTCTATAGGAATTATCTGATGTTTGAAATTTTAATAAAACTCAGCTACAAAACTCTCTTGGCATGCTATTTTTGAAGGAATGGAAATTTCTGAATGTTGATTCAGTGGTGTTTTAATTTGTTGATGTAAGTTTTTCACAGCATTCTCTTGATCTTCTAAGTCTCCACTGTATTTGTACTTACATTTCCCTTTTCATTCATAATACTATTTCTCCTTTTTTTTTTTATTGATCAGCATTACTGAGCTTGTCTATTTTATTCACTCCCTCCAATAACAAACTTTTGGCTTTTGTTGATTATCTCTAATTGTATTTTGTTTTCTATTTTGATGATTTCTTCTCTTACTTTGATTAGTTTCTTCTTTTTGCTTCCTTTGAATTTATTCTGTTGTTTCAATAATTCACCCTTAAGTTGAGTGCTTAGCTCTTTAACTTTCAACTTTTGTTTTTCCCTAATATAAGATTTAAGGCATAAATTCACCTCTAAGAACCACTTTAGCTGTACCCCACATTTTCAAAATTATTATTATCATTTAATTCTGAGTATTTTTCTCCTTTTCACCATTATTTCTTCTTTGACCCATGAGTCATTTTGAAGTAATTTTTTTTTGGCAACCATATTTTGGGTGATATTTTTATGATTGATTTCTGTAGCAGATATGGTTAGTCACCTACCCCAACATCCATTCTTTTCTCATCCTTTGTAACAGAACCCTAGTTTGAGGTCATAGTGTGCCCGGTTAACGGACCTTTCCCAACCTCTCTTACAGCTAGGTCTGACCATAAGACTAAGTTCTGACTAACAAGATGTTAAGCACTGAGCATTTCAAGCTTAACATTCTCTGAGCACAACTAGTGATGATCTCCACCAAAAATCTATTCTCAAGATTTCCACACCTCCACCACCATCCACCCCAGTTTTTTAGGCCAAAAACCCAAAAGTCCTTCTTGATGACTCTTTTCTTCACACCCCACATCCAACCCATTATGATATCCTATCAGCTCTACCTCAAAAATACTTCTCATATCTGACCACCTCCCACTCACTTGATGAACCTGGTCCTAGCCACCATCTCCTGTCATTGGAATATTCTAATAACTTCCTAATGAGACTCAAGGTCCCTTATTTCCCAAAAATTTATCCTGCATACAGCATTCAGTGAACCTCTTACAGAGTAAATCAGATCATTTCATCCCCTGCTATAAAATAAACCCTCATTGTAGCTTCTGCTTTGCAACTGGAAGCTAAATTCCTTTCAGTGGGCACAGGCCCTATGTGATCTGGACCCTGCCCATGCTCCATCCACTCTACTGCTCTCCACTTTCAGCTGCACTAACATTCTGTCCACTCTTAAATGTGCTAGGCCCGATCTGTCTCAGGCTGTTCTTTCTGCCTTAAGAACTTTCTAGCAACCAGAACTTTACCTGGTTGTCTTCTTCCCATAGTTCTGGACTAGGTTCAAAGATCACTTCTTCAAAAAGGCCTTCCCAGACAACCCTACTCTAGCTAAAGCAGCAACTTCCTTGCCACCCACAACACCCTCGACCTCGTTACCCCAATTTATCTTTTTCACAGCACTGTAGTTTCCATTACTTGCAATTACATTATTTATTTTTTTGCTTATTTTTCATTATTTATGTTCCTCACTATATGATAGGCTCCTAGAAGGCAAAGATCTTTTCTTTACTATTGCTTTTAGAACAGCCTCCTCACCACCATAGGTGGCCAGTAAATACAATATATAATGTATAATATTGGAATATACACACACATGATATGGGTCATTTGATATATAATATATGGTTATGTATTATACATGACGTCTAACATTATGTAAAATATGTTCTATATAATATATGATGGAGGAGGCATAATATGCAATATATAATATGTAATAACATATATAATAGTCAATATACCTTAAACAATAACAACATGAAAGTCTTCTAAAGATATACATCTTAAAATTTTTAGTCCTGGTCTTTAATTCCTCCAAAGTCACACAAACACAGAAAGAGAAAGAGAAGGAGAAGGAAGGGAGAAGAGAAAAAGGAGAAAATGAAACAATTTGAAAGAGGACCCAGCTGGTGCCAAGGTCCTGATGTCACATAGGACTATACTTGCTTCCCAGTCCTCACCTCAGCTGACACAGGAAAGGGGTGGCAGGCACCCTGGTGGCACTTGTCTGTAAGCTTGAGAGGCATTATATCGCTGAAGTGTAAGCCAATTAGCAACGTACAATTCTCACGTCGCCTGCGTCATTTCTCACCAAGTGAATGGGCCTGTGGTCCCCCTTCATGAAGCTTTACCTTCTCAGGCCCTTAATGTACTAATGGCTGAATGGCAGCAATAAGGGAACTTCACTGGGGTCTGTTCCTCCTCAACACAGTCCATGCTGGGAGTCATGGGATCCGTTAGTTGGAAGGATTCGTAAAAGGTCAATTCAGTGAAGTCCAAATGGAAAGATGTCTAATGGAGCAGGCTCTCGTGTCGCCTTATTTAGTATATTCCTGTTCTTTCGCAGTATGAAAACAGTTAGAAAACCAGGTCATGTTTTTCAACTAGGTCATGTTTTTCTTCTTCCCACGGTTGGCCTTTTTCTTTAATCTTAAAATGTGATTTTCCACATCTCTTGATTTCTGTTCTTGAATTCTATTTCCAGTCACCATATGCTACTTTTCAGCAAGCAGGAATTTGGAGCAATCCTGCTCACAAATTTTGGAAAGTAGAGACCATAGAAGACAAAGGTAGAATCACCCACTCCCCGTGTGCTTGGGACTTTCTGATTTCGTCAGTGTCTCTGTGCTCTGTGGTCCTCTCTAAAGGACATTGCCATTCCCTTCATGGTAAATAGGAAGGAAATGAAGGCAATTAGAGCTCTTAGGATGTAAATGTCAGTGTTGGCTGAAAGGGTTTTTTTTTCCCCCCTAATCCTGCTTTTGTAAACAAAGCTTTGGTGGGACTAAACCTGGGAAGCTACCACAGCTCCATGACAACTGGACGGGCCAGCCATGGCGACCATCTCCATGCGCACATCACAGTCATTTACAGACATGCATACGCACATTGTAGTGAAAAACATTCACTTTGGCTGACATCCTCAGCAAGAGGAGATCATTAGCAGCCAGGGAGCAGAAGGTAAGATGTGGAGAGAACATTACTAACAGGTCAGCCTTTTGCTGGGTGAACTCAGTGATTTACTTCTATTGATTATACTACGATGAAATTCTTATCCTAGTTTCTCTATGTAGTGCCACATACAAACACTGCAAAGACACCTGATGTACTGTGATTTCTATTGTTCATCAAGTGAATGATACATTTTTTTTCTCAGTGTACAAATCTGTGTATAAAGGGTAAAAGGGTAGTGTGACTCTAAGAGATCCAAGGTTCTATGGAAAATGTCTTTTAACATTCTTTCGATTCTGAAATTTAAAAAATAAATCTTTCACCAGCTATAAAGTAAAAAAAAAAAAACAAAGAACAAATCTTATGTTTCAAGCAACTGAACCCAAAAAGATGACATTATGGACGCAGTCCTACACAGGAACATTCTGCTTACTCACATTTGCACGAGATATGCTTCTCTCCCAGAGGGTTGCGCTCCTCACAATAGGAATATAGCAAGGGTATTTCTGAAAGATTTGAAACAAGGCATTTACTATCACATCAATAATTCTCACAAAAATGTATTTCCATTCCTGAGGTGATTTTTTAGCCAGCTCAGAAGCTGATTCATTCAACCAATGTCTGTTAATTCACAGATTACCTGATATTGTCCAGAACACTGTCCCAGGTGCTAGGGAAACAATGGTGAGGCCAGACAGATACAATTCCCACCCTCAAGAGTGCAAAGAAGATGCAGGTGGTAACTAAAGAATCATATAAATAAATGCAAAACTTCAAATGTGACAAATTAATGAATGAGAGAGACAGAGTCTTTTTAGACCACTGTGATGTATTGGGATGAAATAGAATTAAACATTTAGACCCTTTGCCACGTGGCTTTGAAGTACCTTCCACCTGAATAGATGAAGTGTGTTTCTTTGTCCCGTTGATGCTGCACTAGGCCCCGTGACTTGCTTTGGTCACTGCCATGTTCGCACACATGACGTGAGCAGAGCCTTAATTGTACATGAGGGGTATGGCTTGGCCTCTTTTGTTTCTGTCTCAGAAAGGGAAAAAACATGCCCCAGGTCACCACTGGTCCCACAACAAGGAGACAAATGTAATAGACTTGAATCTAACCCAGAGCCTTGAGGCAATCCTAACTGAGCCCAACTGAGCCATGGCCAACACACAGACCAGGGAACGTGCATAGAACACATGCTGCTTGTTGAAAGCCACTGATTTTGAAGTTGTTTGTTACGCAGAATTATCGTAACAGGAACCTGACTGATGCAAATCTACAATACCTACAATAGGTCCATTCAGGGACATCAGAAAAGGCACCGCTGAGGATGCAACAGGGGTAGGGAATCTTGTAATTTTACTTAAAATATCAAACCTCAATATCAGGATTTACTTTCATACTTCCGCTTTTCAATTTGACACCTTTTATTTGTTTGGTTGGCCGCAATCGTCAAGGTCTTGACTTTTTGTCAGTCAACATTTGCTAAATCGTGCCTCAGCCTTTTATTGACCTGGGGAGCCTGGTATCATGAAGGAGGGACCCCAATAGGCCTGTGACCAGGATATGAGCATATGTCTAGATATCAGAAAAACAATGACGAGTCTACGACTTGCTTTCCTCAAGGTGGTTAGAGTCTAAAGCAGGAGATAGTAACCAAAGAATTGCACAAATAAAGGTAAAATTTCAGTGATACTAAAGGTGATGAAGGGAAGACACATGGGGTATAGACATACGTGGAGCCAAGGAGGACAGATTACATCGACTTGGCTGATGGACAAGAGAACCCCCAAAAAGAGACAAAACTGCAAGAGACAATGACATCTCTTGAATCAAAGTATCAGGACTGAAGGAATGTGACTAGAGAAGTAGAAGGAAATTCCAGATGGAAGAAGAAAGCTAAAATTACTAGGATCTGGAGGAAACTATTGAGGAGTATAAAAAGATTTCAGAGCACTGAAATTAGTGGTACTGTAAATGTGCCACACTTGTACTGCCTGGCAGGTACAGCTAGGGGCATGGGGGCCACACTTAGGTGTCTTCCCATGAAGTCAGGAAATGTGTCTTTTACACAGTACCCCTGACATCAACTCTGTGCTGGGCCACATGGTAAGCATCCAATCAATGGGTTTAAAGAATGCTGGTGGACTCTCCCATGATCCCAAAAGGAGTCACAGAGTCTAAGAACTGGAAGGAATACTAAATCACCAATATTCTCATTTGGTGGATGAGGAAACTGCTCAAGACCATACAAGCGTGTAGGGACAAGCCAGTGATCAAATTTCAGAGTCTGGACTCCGTGTTCCACTCCTCTGTCCAGTTACCAGCACACACAAGTCTTCAAAATCCAGCTCCAGGTTTGTGGGAAAGCAACCCCATGTCTGCAGGCAAGGGAAGGAATCTCATTTACGAGCAAGAATCACCAGGTGGAGAGCCAGGTCCATCTCCATCATGTGCATGCCAGTCCTCTTCCTCAGCGGATTTCCTGCATCACTCCAACCATGTACCTTCACACATTTGGATGTCTTCCGAGTAGACAACCCCCACCCAGGGTGGTGAGCACCAAGCACGGAATGCTGTCCCAAACTACACTGCTGTAACACATTTCTTATTTCAGTAGAGATTTCTCAAAGCTATACCGCTTGTAGATGGCACAACTGGATAGCATCTTTCACAGAGTGTAATGCAAACAACGCCTCCTAAGTTTGTTCAGTGCGCCATCTGAACATCTGTACATAGAAGTTCTGAGATTTCTGCTCTGCAAACAATAAGTTTTCATGGTAGCCAATAGTCCAAGGAAATCATGTGTATTCTGACTTTCATTTTAATAGGAGACTCTTTCTAAAGAGTAAAGTCACCTGCAAGAGGAAAGAAGACTCAGAGACTGAGGTTATCTAATTCCTTAGAAAAGCCTTATCTTGAACTTTTAAGCATGCACGTAGAATTTCTTTGTAAACAAAAAAGCTATTGTAATCAACAAGCAAAAAAGAAAAAAGGAGGCTGGAAAGAATAAAGTAGCTGGGATATTCATTGCCAGTCATTAACCTGATTTTCTAATGAATATGGCATTAGGCATTCATTAACAATCATTTGTGTTTATGTTGAACAGTGGATGTATAATGAAGGTTGGTAAATGAAAGCAAAATTAAACCAGGGAATTTTGGACACTTATAAAGCAATTAACTTGTTTGGCAGTAATTACACATTGAAAGCTAAATCAAGTGCATTTAGAAAGCCACAAGAGTCGCCACATAAACCAGAGGTGCTTTGCTCTAAAATAATAGAGAAACCTCTCTTTCTTTCAAAATGAAAGAGAAAGGAAAAGTATGGTATAAATGACAATAAGACCCAGGTTTAATGAAAAGAAATACGGTTACAGCCCATATGTTAGAGAAGAGGCAAGTTACTCAAAAATAGGACAGCTCAGCTAATTAAAAAGAAGGAAAGAAAAAACCCTTTTGTAACAACAATGATGTGAAAACAGGTGGTGCATGCGCTGGAGAGTTCAAGTTTTTGTTCTGTTTGCACACACACGGGCATGCACACGCATGCACATGAACACGGGCACACACAGCGTCTACATACTTGAACTGTCTAGGAAACGTGTGAAGAGTAAAAACTGAATCCACAATCCGGTGCTTGGACAGTCACTCCACATCAGTAGTTACCAAGTCCGTGTCGCTGCCATTTTGCAATTTGGTTCTCCAGACGGGTGCTTGACATATAGCCTTTTATTCGATTTAGCACATGGCATGAAAAGTCAGTCATTAAGCACATTCAGGGACTCCTTTTTGAAGAAGGAGGAGAGAGAGAGATGCTGTTGCAGATTAAAAAAAAAAGGAGACCTCCAGGGGCCAGCCAGGTGGCGTAGCGCTTAAGTGCGCACATTCCGCCTCTGCAACCCGGGGATCCCTGGTTTGGATCCCGGGTAGGGACATGGCACCGCCTGGCACGCCGTACTGTGGTAGGCGGCCCACATATAAAGGAGAGGAAGATGGGCACAGATGTTAGTTCAGGGCCAGTCTTCCTCAGCAAAAAGAGGAGAATTGGCAGCAGATGTTAGCTAAGGGCTAATCTTCCTCAAAAAAAAAGAGACCTCCAGGAAAATATTGTTACTGAACTGGTGAAGGAGTAGAAGAAGCGAATACAAAATGTCGTGTGGCCACAATACGTACAACATCCAATGAAGCTTTCAGGATGACAGATATATTTTCTTGGAATTTTCAGTTCTGCAATAGTTAGCCAGGAAATACTACAGAGTTGCTTTTTGGATTTTTTCTTACTTTTTTCTTTCTTAGGGCAATAAGAGGATGGCTGGGCTGGAGGAGCTAGTCTTCAGATAAGCCCAGGGATCTGAGCCAAGGGACAAAGTTTTCTAAACCGGAGTTTGAGCATCCTCCTCAAAGAGATCTGAAGATTCATGGGCCCTTCCTATATGAGAAATATCTTTGCAAATAGGGGGTGTAGGTGCTTGAGGGTTAGTTACCGAAAGAAAGGTTCCCAGGGGGATCTATGAAGGGCAGCTGGCTCTGTGGAAACATTGGCAAAGGGCTTGGGTATCAACTCTGCTAAAAAGCAAATACTTGCTTTGCCTGGGGATTGGAACAGAAAACGGAAACCAGGAGCAAGCTTTTGAAATCCTCGCTCAGGTCATTTAACTGCTACCAGATAAAAAATGTGTTTGCTGTGATGGGGTGTATGCCTTTCTTCCGAGAGATGTAGTCTCTCTCTAAAAAGATAAACATGTTATTTCCAAGCAGAGGATTAAGACATTAAGTTGAAAAACTCATTTCTCACTTCTTTGAAACCATTTTAACGATTTGGATTGTCTAACTCGTTCTAATTTAGTATGGAGTGCTTCATTTGAGGTTTTCTGGGTCAGAAAATTACTTTCTTATTTTGACCAAGACCTCGTCAATATACCAGTGTACTGTTTGATTCTCTTTGTAACAGTCTTGATACCTTTGCCTGAGTCTTCATAGACAAATATATTTATATAACAGGAAATTCAGGAAATACGCTACTCTTAAAGGCACCTGCTACTAATTCCCTGCTTCTTCCGTGTTATAGTGCATTTGAATCACTTGGGAAACTACTTAAAATGCAGATCCTGATTCAGGAGGTCTAGAGTGGGCCCTGAGATTGTGCTTTTATAACAAGCTCCCAAGCTGCATTCAGCAAGGTACTACTGCCCTACGGGTCTTTGTAGTACGTAGTTGCTTTAAAGAGGTAGTACGGTTAAGACCAGAGGTAACTAAAGCCTTGGAAATAGATCACTTCCTCTCCAAGAAGAAACCTGGAAAGTTTAATGGACCAGAAATTAAGCAACAGAGGAATGAATACCCATTAGAAATGAAATATACAAGGAAGTGGTTTAGTCACCATTACTCCTTAATATGTGCATCCCAGCTGCCATAGCTTTTTATCTGCTTCTCCAGTTGCTGAAATCCAGACAATTCAGTTTGCCAAATAATTACCAATATGCCATGTACTACGTTAAGCACT